TGGAACTGGAGACAAAAGGACTGAGGTGTGAGCAGACTGCATAAAAAACTGTTTCCCAGCAGATGGGGGAAGTCAATCAAGGATGACTCTGCAAGGCAGGGAGGTTGCTGCAAGCTGGCAGTTGGCCTTCCAGGCCAGAGCTTACAGTGAGGCCTGCTTAATGGAACAAGGAGAAGCTGGCAAGTTGGGTGACAGAAATATGTTCAGGCTTTGCTTTCCATTCTAGCCCAATGTCCCTAAACACCAGCTCACTAATAAATAATGGCTTGTTTTGAAAAGGGCATGCTGCGTCTCTGCAAACATCTGCAGGTTCCATTGCTCTCAAAAGGGTATATTTCCATCAGGGCTCTTTTTGACCCACTGAAGGAGCTGTGGTGAGAAACAGAGGTGTTGAAGCCAGGATCCAGTCTCAGAGTAGCAGAGCTGTGGGGCTCCTCCTTGTCAAAAGTGGAGGCTCAGGGCCTAGCAATGCTCCCTGAAAGACTGTACAAAGGTCAGAGGCATAGCACATCCCCTGAATCCATAGCAGCTTATTAATAGAGAGGGTTGCAAAATGCCAATTATTATTCAGGAAATAAATATATACACTTTCTGAAAACTTCCTGCAATTTTTTGTTTGTTTTTTCATTGAAAAAACTGTTTGATTTTTTGAAACATTTTACTTATATCTTTTTGTTGTTTGGTCAAAACCTAGTAAATTTCAATCAAGGTGAGATTTTTTGCTTCCATAAAAAACCTTTTTTGGGGGGGTAGCGGTTCAAAAAATGTGAAGTCAAAGAATTGACCAGCTTTGTTATTAATACTCCCATATCTCTCAAGGCAATTGTAAGGATTCATTAGTTAATTCTTTACAGCAACAATTATTTAAAAATATTATTACTATATTAGAGATGATGGTCATGGCTCCATCATTAAGGGTGTGTTCTCAAAAGTGCTGAAATAGGTTACATATTCTTGTGTACTTGTCCTTTCAATGTGAAACTTCACACACATGTTTTTATGTCCTTTACATTGTCTGTGTAGTTCTTGTTTGGTTCCCTTTCAAACATTGTTAATAGGAAGTGTTTGAAATTGAGGTCTTGTTGAAATTCATTCATGGTAGCTTCACTTTTTTGTGCACTTGTATTTTTAAAACAATGTTGTGTATCAACAAAATGAAACAAAACAGAGATGAATCTTGACTAGATCTGGTTCACTGCAGATTTTTTTTAAAGAATCTTTTAAGATAAAGGGTAATATTTTGTGCTGTTATTCAGCAGAGTGCCCTTGGTGGTCTGTGATACAGGACTACTTGCAGCCAGACCCACAACCTAGGGGAGTGTAGCGGGGCAGTCACCCCGCTCCAGCCCTGAAAGGGTTAAAAGCCAACCCTTGGAGAGGGCTGGGGCTGAGAGCCAATAAGAAGAGGCTGGGAGGCAGCCAATCAGGGCCAGGCTGGGCCCTATAAAAGAGCTGCTGGGCCAGAAGGCAAACAGTCTCTCTCTAGCTTTGGAGAGAGTCTCACTCGAGCCTTGGAGTGAGAAGGACCTAGCTGCCTGGGAGCTCAGGGTACCAGAAGCACAGCAGTGCTGGGGAAGGGCAAGAGGAGCTGGGGAGCTCCAGCCTGGCAACTCCCCAGGCTGAGGCCTTGTTTAAGGCCCAAGCAGGTACTGGGGTTGCAGAGGTGCAGCCCAGGGATAGGCAGAAGCAGCTGGTCCAACCCCCTTGCCAATGATGAGTGACCATTACAGACTGTAGTTTGCTCCAGAGAAAGGGGAGTAGATGACGACTGGCAGCAGGGCCGGCTCTAACTTTTTGCCGCCCCAGGCAAAAAAGAAGAGCGCCGCCCTGTCATAACCCCCCCCCAGCGCCGTGCCGCCGCACCCCCCTCCACCAGCGCCACGCCGAGCCGGGCCACCAAACCCCCGCCCCCCGAGCGTCGGGCCGGGCCGCCCAAACCCTCGGAGCGCCGTGCCGCACCGTGTCGCCGAAACATCCCCCGCGCTGCCCGGCCGAAACAAAAAAAACCTACCCTCAAGCGCTGCCTTAGCAAACAAAAACAAAAACAAAAAAACCCCACCGCGAGCACCCCCCGCCACCCCAACATTGGCCGCCCCTTCTAAGGTGCCACCCCAAGCACGTGCTTGGTCGGCTGGTGCCTGGAGCCGGCCCTGACTGGCAGTAGCCACTGAGGTAAGGTGGGCATAGGGGTTGGGGGCTTCCCTGGGAGGGGAGACCCAGAGCGTGGGGACTGCTGTGGGTAGAACCCCAAGGTAAAGGGCACCGGGGCCTGGGAGGGACACGGGGCCGGAGGCAGGCGAGACACCAGCCAGCAGGACATGCTCTGAGTGCTTGAAAAGAGCTAATTCCCGGACTGACCAGCAGGAGGTGTCACACTGGTGAGTGCTCGACTTGCTACAGGGCATCTTGGAGTTAACACCCTGTGGAGATGCATGGGGCAGTTCACACCTTCCAAACCTAAGGTCTCAGGTTTTCTGCAGGCTCCGGCAGACATCATTGTATTAGTTATGATTGGTTCTCTGTTCTCCATACCATGATTAGTGTCCCCTATGGGACACTAAGGGTATGTCTACACCCAGCCGCTAGTTCGGCGGCTGGCAATCGAAGTTCTGGGTTCGACTTATCGCGTCTTGTCTGGACGCGATAAGTCGAACCAGGAAGTGCTAGCCGTCGACTGCGGTACTCCTGCTCAGCGAGAGGAGTACCGCGGAGTCGACGGGGGAGCCTGCCTGCTGCGTGTGGACCGAGGTAAGTTCGAACTAAGGTACTTCGAACTTCAGCTACGTTATTCACGTAGCTGAAGTTGCGTACCTTAGTTCGATTTGGGGGTTTAGTGTAGACCAAGCCTAAGAGCCTCTCGCTGTCAAATGGCAAAGGGCTCACTGCTCTGTAAATACAGCTGTTACCAGGCCTGACAAACTCACTATGCCTAACCCACTGTTGACATAATACTTATCCACAAAGTATCTTGTGAGGTACCATATGAAAAATGGTTACCCTCTGGTCAATGATATTAGTACTTGGCATATGTACGGTTAGCGTGTAAAGAGTTATGTATATGTGCTGGAAATATGTTCCTAAAATATATTCAGACCGAGCAATTTGAATAGAGCGGATAAACAGGTTCGTCTCAGACAAAGGCATGTGAATTTACCACTCTGCCTGAGTCAAGTTTTTAGGTCAGATACACTGAAGATACATTTGTATCTAAGGTAAACAAAGTGATCAAACCCACAGAAAGAGCTAATTAACAAGAGGACAAAAAGGGGACATGACGTCTGCTCCCTGAGGAACAAGTAGCAGGGGAGAAGAACTTTGGCTGTGGTTACTTTAAAAAAATGCATTTCAAAGGCTTTCTGAACTCTAAGCAAAGGGGAAAAGATATTGTGGCTCCATCTCTGAAGGGACAAAGAGGCCAGTGCCCTTGCAACCTGTTAAAAGCGGGTCCCCCAGTCATGAGGGCTGAGGACTCTGAGAACTGACTGTGAATGAGAAATTGCGTGAGACCAGGATTGTGATCTGTTCAGTTCAAGACACTGGAAAGTGGGTTTTCTTTGTAGCCATTTCCTGGTTCTATTATCCTTGTTCACTATGGCTTAAATCTCAGTTCCTTATCGTAAAATCAAAAACTAATTTATTAATAAACTCACCTCAGTGCCGTGTATTGAAGTAAAGTGTGGATCCTCAGCTAAACTAACCGGCTGGGTGTGCCCTGGCTCTTTGGAAGTGGTGGTCTTGGTAATTTCTGTGAATATCCAGTGATAGGGGCTGAATACTGCAGAGGAACACTTTTCCAGGCGGTTCAGGAACTCGAGTTCAGGGAATGTTACCTGCGAGGCAGGGGTAAGACTGACAGAGTCTCAAGGAGTTTGCTGGTGAGGTGGACAGACTGATGTGTCAGGAAGCTGACACAGTTTAAGCTGCAGCAAAGCTCCCTCTTGCTGAGGCAGAGGGGTAACACAGTGACTTCTGGTTCTGGGTGTCACACTCTTATTCTGATAACACCTCTTCATCTAGCTTTGGAAGGGCCCTCACCTTCCTAGCTCAAAGTCAAGCATTTCAAAGGCCACTGTGATCTCCACAGCCATAGACAATCGTCATCGGTCTAGGTGATTGAATTCTAATATACCTGTCTGCTGTTCTTTGATATAAGACAGAATCAGGGCCGGCTCCAGGCACCAGCCCACCAAGCTTGTGCTTGGGGCGGCACCTGGAGGGGGGCGGCGCAGCGCTCCGGCCGCCGGGGAGAGCGGGGCCACGGCCGGGCTCGCCGCCCTCCCCCCGGCGCTCTGGCCGCCCTCCCCCCGGGCGCCCTCCCCCCGGCCGCCGGGGGGAGAGCGGAGCCCCCGCCGGGGCTTGCCGCTCTCCTCCAAGGGCTCCGGCCCCCCCCCCCCCCGGGGGGGGGGGGGGGCGGCCGGAGGCTTTTTTGCCTGGGGCGGCAAAAAAGCTAGAGCCGGCCCTGGACAGAATGGATTCTTCTCTGTATAAATCCCTCACCTCGCTATGGAGTATGAATCACTGACAGACCCAGACTCTCTGGCCCAATGGGTGTGGTCAAGCCAGGGTAAAGCAGAACCGCCGCCTGGTTGTAACAGAATGATTGATTATTTGCAAGCAGTGTGGCTTTTAAAAAGTGAATAAATCCCTGATCCTCCACATGGTCTGGCCACAATCTTAAAGAGCAGAAACAAAAGAACAGAAATCACTCAGTCAAGTGTGAACTGAAGAAGGGCATCTAGAGGGAAAGTGCTGTTAGCTAGAGTAGTAGAGCAAGTCCAATATCAGAGCTAGCTCACTGGGACTCTGAGTTGGAAGTACCTGGGAGTACAAATAGCTTACAGTACATCTACCCCGTCCAAAGCCTGTCTGGAATACTTATCTCCTCTGCTGTCCTTTCTCCATTCTCACGTTGCATTTCCACATCTTCCCCCAGCCATTTACGCTTCATTTTCCCCCATTAGTTCTCACTGATTTTTTCTCATTCTGTCTTCCCCATACAGACTAAAAATAAGCAATCAGCAAAACACTGGTCAGTCCAGGAGACATGGCCTCAAAAACTTCAGCAGGGAGGGTGCAAGATGAAGCCGTATGTCCTATCTGCCTGGAGTACCTGACGGAGCCTGTGACTCTAGACTGTGGGCACAACTTCTGCCTCGCCTGCATCACTAAGCACAGTGAGACATGTACAGAGGGGGACTATGACCCTTTGTGCTGCCCCAGCTGCAGAGCCCAGATCCGGAGACAGAATTTCCAGCTGAACTGGCAGCTGGCAAATAGAGTAGAGCAAGTTAAACACTTACATGTTGAAGCAGAGAGAGAACAGAAAGTGAATCTATGCGCAATACACAAGGAAGAGCTGAAGTTGTTCTGTGAGGATGACAGAGAAGCCATTTGTGTGATCTGCAGAGAGTCCAAGGAACACAGAGCTCACACTGTGGTTCCCATAGAGGATTCTGCCCAGGAGGACAAGGTAGGAAACAACTAAGCTTGGCTGATTTAACCTTTTAATGATACACTTTTCCTCTCAGGAGGTGAAATTTCTCTGAGTATTTCTCAGAAACACCAGATTCTCCCAGTTTCACAGATTTCTTCTCTTGGAAGCTGGCTTCAACCATAGTTCTGAATTACGGACTGACCTCTTTTCAGCACTGCCACCCTAGACTGTCAGCACCCTACAGTTAACTACCCTCAGCAATCCCTGAGGGTGAATGGGTGGCACTTGTCCCCTAAAGATCATGATTGGCACATGGTGCTACCAGGCCGTGAATGCAAGGAATGTGCCTCCTTCAGGCAGACAGGGCATTCAGATGGAAGAGAACAACAGTATCCAACATTCTCCTGCCTTGGGCATGTACATGGGTGGTGTGTAATGGAGGCTGGGGGAGGGTAAGCCTCCCCAAACCTCATGCCGTGGGCGGGAGGGGGGCCAGTGGCAGGCAATTTGGGCCCCTTGAAAAATCTCCCCCACCACAGCCCCGGGGTTGGAGGAGCTCTTGCTCCCCGCCGCAGCTCTGGGCCTGCGGCGGGGTCACAGAGTTTTTCCAGTCTCGGGGGTGGAAAGGAGCGAGCTGGGGGGAAAGGGATCTTGGGTGGGAAAAGGTGGAGTGGGGGCAGAATGGGGGTGGGGCTGTGGGGCAAGCAGCGGAACAGGAGTGGGGCCATGGGTGGAATGAGGATGACGCCGCGGGGAAGCGATGGAATGGGGTGGGGACGTGGGCAGGGCCACAGGTGGAAAAGGCAGAATGAGGGAGGGGCTCTGGGCTCCAGCCAGGGCTTAGAGAGCTCTGCCGCAGTCTTAGGCAGGGCTGAGAGCTCGACCCCAGCTGGGGCTGAGCTCTCAGCCCCCCTCCATAGCCCCAGCTGAGCTCTCAGCCTCCGGGCGGGGCCATGGAAGGGAGGGGCCAAGCTCTCAGCCCCCCTGCCTGCCCTGGCTGGGGACACGGGGGGCTGAGAGCAGCTGGCAAGGCTTTGGCCGGAAGAGGCGGGGCCTCCACTGGAAGAGGCGGGACAGGGGGCTAGTCTCCCCAAGGGGAAGCTTCACCTGGTGCCCATCGGCATGTAGATTAATATCAGAGACCTGTGGGAAATGGCACAAGTAGAAAACACAGCAGGGAAGACGATTCATTGCATTTTACCTCCCCAAAGAAAACACTGCTAACAGATAACTTGGGGATAAAGTTGCAAACATATGGTCCTCTCCTGTCTGTTAGGGGGTCATTGGTGCTAATGGCTTGCTGACTGGGGATCTTTGAAGTATAACTAGGCTTGGCAGAATTCAGTTTTTATTATTTTGTAATTTCAGTGTTTATTTTAAAGTATTTTTCTGTTATCGATTTAAATTTTCACAGTTGTGCAAAATTATGTTTTAAGAATTTTAATTTATTTTATTAATTCCAATTTTCAAAGTTTTGGGAATGATAGAGGGATCAAACAATGAAAGTTAGACAAGAATTATTTAATGACTGTTGACATGTAGATTCAAAAATGTAAAGCATTATAACCATTCAAATAAAAATTTTCAACATCACATGTCAAAATATACGAAGTAATATTCTAAAATAAAATAAATTCTCAAGCAGCATTTTTCTTACTTTGCCTATATCTAAATGTCAATTATTATTGATGGAAATATTTTTGTATTTTTGTGTGTGTACAGTGAAATCAGTATTTACCAATACAAATCTAATCCTTCGAAACCTCTATCAACATTCAGGACAAAACTCCCTGTACTAAGAGTTAATGTGCCACACAATAACCACACTTAGAAGGTTGTTAGTGAGAATGAGTGGTTAACTCAGAGGCCTTGTCTACGCTTAAAAATTCATTCAGATTAAGGTAGGTATGTAGGATGTGGATTTAAAGTGCAATATCACAATAACTCCATGTACAGACATATGTCTTCTAGAATAAGAGTGGAATAAGCTAAACCAGAAAAAGGCACTCTTATTCCAGAATAGGAATATCCACACAGGGTGCTATTCCAATATCTATTGCACTTTAAATTCACAGCCTACATAACTCCAGATTAACTTCCCTATGTAGACAAGCCCACACAGTAAACACTTTTGAGGCTTCTTTGTGTTGTAAAAGCTGCCCAGAGTGGGTGTAAAGAAAAGGCCATGTGGCCCCGGAGAAGGAGTTTTGGGCTGTCTATACTACAGAGTTTATGCTGGCATAGCAATATCAGCATACCTATGCCAGGAAAGTCCCCTGGTGTAGGTGCAGCGTACACCAACAGAAGGAGTTTTTCTGCCAGGGTAGGAATGCCATTTCCCCAACACATTAGCTACATTGAGAGAAGCACTCCATCAGCACAGCTGTGTCTTGTACACTGTGGACTTATCGGCATAGCTGTGTTCGTTAGGGGTGTGTTTTTTTCATTCATTCCCCAGCTGACAATCTATGCGCACACAACTTTTAAGTGAGACCAAACCTGAGACTCAGGCTTTCCTTGTGTTGTTGGGATAAAATTACAGTGAGTTAAGCAATGGTTTACACTTAAAACTTATAACAGCATAGCTATGTCAGTCAGGGATGCGAAAAAACCCACTCCCTCTTGCTACCCAGGGTTTTCAGAAACCACAGCAGGGGTAACTTAACTATTTCACTCCAGGTGGTGTCAGGAATAAATCAATGAGAATGCAGCAGTTCCGTGTGATGAATCATAGAATATTAGTGTTGGAAGAGACCTCAGGAAGTCATCTAGTCCAACCCCCTGCTTGAAGCAGGACCAACACTAACTGAATCATCCCAGCCAGGGCTTTGTCAAGCCGGGCTTTAAAATCCTTTAAGGATGGAGATTCCACCACCTCCCTAGGTAACTCATTCCAGTGCTTCACCATCCTCCTAGTGAAATAATGTTTCCTAATATCCAACCTAGACCTCCCACACTGCAACATAAGACCATTGCTTCTTGTTCTGTCATCTGCCACCACTGAGAATAGCCTAGCTCCATCCTCTTTGGAACCCACCTTCAGGTAGTTGAAGGCTGCTATCAAATCCCCCCTCACTCTTCTCTTCTGCAGACTAAATAACCCCAATTCCCTCAGCCTCTCCTAGTAAGTCATGTGCCCCAGCCCCCTAATCATTTTCGTTGCCCTCTGCTGGACTCTCTCCAATTTGTCCACATCCCTTCTGTAGTGGGGGGACCAAAACTGGACACAGTACTCCAGGTGAGGCCTCACCAGTGCCAAATAGAGGGGAATAATCACTTCCCTCGATCTGCTGTCAATGCTCCTACTAATACAGCCCAATATGCCGTTGTCCTTCTTGGCAACAAGGGCACACTGTTGACTCATATCCAGCGTCTCATCCACTGTAATCTCCAGGTCCTTTTCTGCAGAACTGCTGCTTAGCCAGTCGGTCCCAGCCTGTAGCGTCACATGGGATTCTTCCTTCCTAAGTGCAGGACTCTACACTTGTCCTTGTTGAACCTCATCAGATTTCTTTTGGCCCAATCCTCCAATTTGTCTAGGTCACTCGGGACCCTATCCCTGCCTCTCCCCCCAGCTTAGTGTCATCTGCGAACTTGCTGAGGGTGTAATTCATCCCATCATCCAGATCATTAAAGATGTTGAACAAAACCGGCCCCAGGACCAACCTCTGGGGCACTCCGCTTGATACCAGCTGCCAACTAGACATCGAGCCGTTGATCACTACCCGTTGAGCCTTGTTGTCAGATGCTACCAGTGTGGTGCTTCTGCTTTCTCCTGTTGAT